AGCTCCAGTACCTCCAGTACAAGCACCTCCAAAACCAGAGACACCAGTACTCCCAGTGCCTCCATGACAAGCAGCTCCAGTAGCACGACTCCTCAGGCGGGTACGCGACGCAAGCCACTCTCGTGCCTGCTGTGGTGAGAGAGGCTCACGTCGGGAAACGAGACCCGGAGGAACGCCAGCAGACTCAGCACCCTCCGACCCGGCACCCTCCGGCGAAGCACCCCTAGGCTCCACACCCGTAGGCTCAGCACCCCCAGGCTCCGCACGCGGAGGCTCAGCACCCCCAAGGCACCGCACCCCCTAGCACCTCGCGCACAGGCTCAGCACCCCCAGACGCAGCACCTCCAGCAGCACCTCCCGGAGCAGCACCTGAGTCACTAGTGACCTCTACAGGCTCAGCCAAGGGGAGCGGGTCTACCTGAGACACACCTGAAGGAGCAGGACCCTGAGGGGGGAGGGGGTCTACCGGAGGGGGACCTGGAGCGAGGAAAAGCGGCGGGGGAGGGAGAGGGGCAGTGCGGAAGGGGAAGAGACGGTAGAAAGGAACTGACTCGTCAAAGGTGACATCCTGAGAGGGCAGACACGGCGCAAGGTGGGGTGGTAGAACTGTTAGCCAGGCGCGTCAGGGACAACGCCAAGGAAGGCACAGGGAATGGTGCGGGAGGAGAGCTTGTCCGCGGACGTATTGCGGACAAGGGCACGAGCACCCCAAACCCGGAAGCGGGACGCATTGCCAATCTCCCCCGTCCAACGCGGTGTGGGCGAGGTCTTCGGCAAGGAGACACGGGGCCAGAGGTTGAGCTGCTGCGCGGCGTACCGGACCGCAAACGACCACAGAAAATGGGGAGTTGCCGCATGGATCAAGGAGGTACGAGCGACCTCCATGACCAAGCCAATGCGGTGCTCAGCAACCCCATTTTGTTGCGGTGAGCCCGGAAGTGTGAACGACTGCTCGATGCCCTCCCCCTGACAGAAGGCCCGCAAGAGGTCGGAGGTGAACTCACCACCTCTGTCATAGTGCAGACGTAGGACATGAAGGTCCTGGCGGAACCTGCGGCGAAACTGGAGACGAACTGCTCGGATCCAAGGGATCTGGACAGCAGGGACCTCACCCTTGGAGCGCAAGGGGAAGACCGTGGTATAACGCGAGTATTCATCGACAACCAGCAGAAAGTACCGCTCACTTCCCTGTCCACGAACGCGGGCTGGGCCCCACACGTCCATGTGGAGGGTCTGCAAAGGAGCCTTTGTCGGGGGAAACGAGGAGGAGTGAGGAGCGGCGCGCTGCCGCCCCTCAACGCAAGGAAGGCAGGGCAGCGCAGGCGAGGCAGGGAGGGGAGGGAGAGACCTGGGAAGACCACACACAAGGAGACGACGGTGGATGCCACGGAAACGTGACAAGGAGGGGTGACCAAGGCAGTGGTGCCAGGCAGAGTCTGGTGCGACAGCGAGCGACACTCACAAGGGGAGGCTACTAGACTTGACGCATACACCTAACCGACAGCAGCTACCTGAGGAGACACAGTGTAAAGACTCGACCCTGGCTGACGGGTGAACGTGGCCAGGTGACGGCCAGTCTTGGAGCACGTACAGATCGCCACACGCTGTCCTCCAGGGGTAAAGGTGTCAACCCAATGATCCTGGAGGACGGCGTTGCTCACCAAGTTCGTCGAGAACGAGGGGAGGTGAAGACCTGACAGTGACCCACACGGAACCGCCGGGCACGGAAGCACAGTGGTGGACCGTGCAAGAACTGGGACCCCTGAGGGGTCAGCCAGAGACACTGCAACAGGTGCAGGGAGTGGCGTGAGTGTGGTACTGTCGCGAAAGAAACTGCGGGAAGCACCTGAGTTAAGCGTGAAGGTGTGCAAGGCCTCAGCAGGCGCAGTACCTGAGAGAGCAGACTCGCTAGCACCTAAGGCAGCAGCCTCACTAGCACCTAGAGCAGCAACCTCTATACCGGGGTTGTACAGCACACACAGGTAACAATCACCCTCAGCACCACCAGGCAAAGCATACATAGCAGTAAGGATGGTGTCATAGTCCAAAGCAAAGACATCAACGCCCGACCTAAGTAGCTCAAGCCAGTGGGGGATCTCAGCCTCGTCGCCAAACTCTGCGTGCCATGCGTCACTCAAATAGGCGAAGCAGCGGGACTGTGCGTGGTCATGTGTCCCACAGACCTGACCAGCTCGACGACCTGTGCGAATGACGTACAGGCAGCGACCAGGACTCGGAGACATCCCACGCTGGTAAAGCCACTCACGAAGCTGCTGGGACGTAAGGGTCGGACGCCGCCGTAGCTGCATCTAGCCACCGCCAGAAACTCCGCACCAAAGAGCGTCACAGTGACTGCTACTACGGCCGCCACCACTCCCACTGCTGCCACCACCGCCGTCACCACTCCCACCGCTACTACAGAGTGAAGTCATGGTGGGCAAGCTTGGAGGAGAGCGACCTCTAGGGTAGTACGGAGTGAAGGCAGTAGCACGAGGAGTAGCAGCAGCAGTAAGAGCAGCAGAGCGGCTCGGTGAGGCTAGGCTGCATCACCTCCAGCACTCCTAGCAGCACCTCCAGCAGCAGCAGCAGTAGGACGAGCAGCTGGGCGGATCGGGTCGGGTAGGGCAGCTCGGCTCGGCCTAGGCGGCGCGGGCAGTAGGGCGTGCGCTGTGCAGGGCAGCAGGGCGCGACGCGCAGGGCAGCAGGGCGCGACGCGCAAGCTGCAGCAGAGAACGACGCGCGGGGTAGCAGCGCGCGACTCGTGCACTGGCGTAGGGCGCGACGCGCGGGGCAGCAGGGCGCGACGCGCGGGCTGCAGCAGAGCGCGACGTGCGGGGTAGCAGCGCGCGACTCGCGGGCTGCCGTAGGGCGCGACGCGCGGGCAGTAGGGCGCGACGCTCGGGCAGCAGCGCGCGACGCGCGGGCTGCCGTAGGGCGCGACGCGCAGGGCAGCAGCGCGGGCGTAGGGCAGGGCGCAGGCGCAGGGCAGGGCGCTGGCGCAGGGCAGGGCGCCGGCGCAGGGCAGGGCGCTGGGGCAGGGCAGGGCGCTGGCGCAGGGCAGGGCGCTGGCGCAGGGCAGGGCGCCGGCGCAGGGCAGGGTGCTGGCGCAGGGCAGGGCGCTGGCGCAGGGCAGGGCGCTGGCGCAGGGCAGGGCGTTGGCGCAGGGCAGGGCGCTGGCGTAGGGCAGGGCGCTGGCGTAGGGTGACGCGAGGCAGGGCAGGGCAGGGCGTTCGCTAGGCAGCGCGACGCGGGGCAGGGCAGGGCGTGCGCGGGGCAGCGCGACGCAGGGTAGTAGGGTAACGCGGTAACCGCAGTCGGTCGCTAAGTATGGTGGGCCCGGAAATGAAAATACGGTCCTACGGACCTTCTGCTCTGAAACCATGTCAAGATAGCAAGCAGGAATGATTGCATTGAATGAATTGTGGGTACAAGTACTAACCCCAATATTGGGTTGTACCCCATATGGGCTACCCCACTATAGCCTACACACAACTAGCACAGATATGGTTTGACAAGGGGACGGGACAGTCAGAGGACGGGACGGGCAGGGGACGTGACGCGACGGGCAGGGGACAGAACGACGGGCAGGGAGGCGCGTCGAGTAGGTGAGGTGACGGGACGGGATGGGCGGGTGACGGGCGCGACGCGACGGGCAGGGTACGCGACGCGATGGCTAGAGGATAGGCGCGACTGACTGGCAGTACGAGCGCTACGGGCGCTTCGTGATTGAAAGGGCAAGCGCCAGGGCTCTTGCTAGGATTTAAGCCCGTCTGAAAAGTATATACCAAAAAAAGGTTTCGTCTGACGTTCAGACGGGGAATTTTTTCTGGTCTGGTTTTTAAGACGAAGGAAAAAGCCATGTCTGAAATTTCAGATGAAATAATAGTGGTCTGTTTTTGTTTTTTCAAATTTGAATTGTGTACTGTTTTACTTGTATCAGACAGAGCGACACAACCTAAACAGGTTTGGGCTGCGACGCGCGAGAGCGGGAATGGGGCAGTGGGGCAGGTGTTGGCCTGCGAGAGACAGGGGAGTGGGGGGCTTGGGCTACGTACGAGACGGACAGGGGGGGAAGGGGCACGAGTGCTGATTTAGGAGATTGTGGCGGGGCGGGAGGGAATTCGAGGTAGTGGGGAGGAGCGAGGGAATTCGGGTCTTGGGAGGCTGAAGCGCGTGGGGGGTAGGGGGAAGAGGGAAGCACTCGGTACTTCGGTGTCAGACGAAAACGTACGCATTATCTGATTTCTCAGATGAAGTATAACGCCGAGTCTGATTTTCCAGACGAAATAAAATTTCTGGTCTTATGGATCAGACGAACTAAAATTGCTTGTCTTCAAAATCAGATGAAATAAGAAAAAGTAGGTCTGATTTTCAGACCATCAGACCAATTTGGTCTGATAACAAGGACCCTGGCAAGCGCTAAGGGCGCTACAGGAGGTACGGGCGTTTCTTGACAAAATGGGCAAGCGCTGAGGGCGCGACTGGATGGAACGAACGGCCACAACGGGCGCTACGGGACGAAACAGGCGCTGCGGGAACGGTAGAATATGTGCAACGGGCGCGAGAGGCTCTAGCGGGATCCCACAGGTAGTTGATACCATGTCGAGAATGAAAGTGTTGGTTTGACAAAGGCTGGTTGGGGTACATAAAGCTAACCCTAGCAGTTGTACCCCCTATAACACACATCACTAAGACACTACAACATTTGACAGCGCACCCCTTGAAAAAACCGAATGTATTATACTGTGAAAACATATGCGCTACTGTCCAGGGCCAGACGGCACCAGTAAACGCAGCAAGGTCTGAGAAAAAAAACAGCATGACAAGGCGTCCTAGGTTAGCAGAGGAAGGAGAGGAATAGCGGGAATCGTTAGCGTCTGAAGTAGAAACAATGAAACGAATGGACTGAAAGGGCAAGGTGGCCCTAACCAAGGCTAACCAATGTACCATCGCAAATGTAACACATACAGTTTGATATTAGGTTGGCAGTGTTGGACCTACTAATCACGACGGAGCACAAGGAGCGGCTGAACAACGTCAATCCCTTCGAAATCAATTCGGTACAGCTTTTTCAGGCTGTCGACCCCAAAGACGTCAAGCAGGCGCCAGCCTGCGGTGAGCAGCGGCATTCGGATGGGCCCGTATATGCGGTGGGCGTTGAAGACCAGCGTGTCGTTGCCCGTGGGCACGCCCAGGAACAGCAGCCCTCCTGGCTTCAGCAGCCCCTTGATCTGCCAGGCAAGGCAGGGGTTGTGTGGGACAAGGCGTGCATGGTGCGAACCACCCACAAAGAGGGGGTTGCAATGGGAGGCCGCAGACATGCTGTGTGCGAATGTTTGGCATCCTGTCTACCTTGCTGCACAGAAGTACCGAACAAACCGATGCGGCCACCTCGTGTTGCTCCAGCCCACCTCGTGCCGCCCCAACCCACCTTGTGCTGCCCTCGCCCACCTTTTTCATGCGTTCGAGGTCGCCGTTGGGGTTGATGGGGTCGCCGTAGCGGCCGAGCCCGTCATGTTCGAGCGAGGAGAAGGAGACGGCGACGTCCCACGTCTCGCTGCTGCCCTCCAGCTCGCCCACCACCAGCTGCCGCAGCCGAGGGTGTGACGCCACGGGGCGGTTGAAGTCCACCGTCGTGATGGCCTGCGCATCGAACCCCAGGCAGATCGCCTCCACCCACGGCCACTAGCTGCCCACGATCAGCACGCTCTTCTGAGCCACTGGGTACTTCTCAAACGCCGAGTAGAACGACCCCGTCACGTTCGGCCCATACGACCCGAAGCCCGTGTCGCGCCGGCGGGCCATGGCGGCCTGTTGGTCGATGCCATCGTTAGACCACACAAATGGCTTCGCCCCCGAATCATGTGCGTCCGCATCCATGAACCAGCTCTTCACCTGCCAGCGTGACAGGAAGAGGAGGTGTCGTTCAGAGCACAGTGGTGCTATTCCGCGTGCATATTGCTTCGTCACGGTGCATTCTGCGTGCTATGCGCCGTTGGTTGCGCGCAATGGCTGGTCAACGCGCACACGGATCTGCTCTGAATTAAGCACCCCGCCATTCCTCTCTCCGCTCACTGCCCTCACTCACTGCCCTCACTTTCCCTGCTTTCAACCACCCGACCCAACCGTGTGTGCGTGCCCTCTTCTCCCCCCCTGCCGGCCTCGCGAGTGATGTTCGCACCTGCACGCGGCCGTCCAGAGTGAACTGATCCTGCACGCTCTTGCGGATCCACTCCCATGGTACGGGCCCGGGCAGCCCGAAGTTGCTGATCAGGAACCGCGATGCCTCGTCGCTGCCTTGCGCGCCACTGACCTTCTGCTCATCGCCCATGTCTGCTGGCGTGCAGCTCGCTGCACCGGTCGGTGTTGCCACGGCGGTGGGGTGGGAGGGAGGGCGCAGAAGAGGAATGTGAGAATGGGAAGGAGGAACGACGCTTCGCCCTCGAACAGATCGGGAGTGGTGCGCCCGGTCACGAAATGTTGCGACACGGGTAACGCGGCAGTCGACGCGCGGCTTGAAGCGAGCGCGCAGCAAGAAAATCTGAGGCAGTGCGGCATGACGCAATTCGGTTAGCTACCACTGCGACGTTCTCGCTGGAGGCTCGCAACATGGACGGGTAGTAATGCGGGCGCATGGGCTGCCTCTCAGCAAGGTGAGATCTACTAGGACTTGGTGGGCGCGGAGGGAGCGGGGAAGCGGCGGCGGCTTACCCAAGTCTGGATTGGTGAAGCGGATGGTGACGGCGGCGGCGAAGAGCACGGCGGACGCCGCGAGGACGACGTAAGGCGCGGTTCTGGACCATGTCGCGAGCTTCATGCTCTCGCGGGCTGATGGATCCATCCCTGCCATCGCAAATCTGCTACGCTAGCCGCACACGGAGCTCAGAAAAATCTCGACATCCACGTGCTGCATTTTGTAGCTCTAGCCCCAGACTTCATTGGCAGCAGTCTCATGAAATCTGCGATCGCTGATGCCGTCGATCCCATCCTATCCCGATCCCGCCCTCCCAACCTTCAGGTCTGCGTTCTGTTGGCGCGCAACAGCCCTTGCAGGGCTAGGGTTTAGGGTGGTTTCTAACCCGTGTCAGACACGAAGCCAGACACGAAGTTGAGGTTGGGAAGACCCAAAGGGACTCGAAATGCTGGCAAATTTAGGTTCGGAAGACACAAACCGAGTCACTTTGTGTCTTCCGAAGCTTTGACCTGAAGTCTGACACGGGATAGAAACGCGCCCTTAGGCTAGGGCCTTGGGGAGTTTTCGGAGCGAATCTCCCTGGGCTATCCCCCGCCCGACCAAATCGGAAGCAGCGCCTCCCTAGATCGGTAGGAGGGGGTCGTCAGGGCGCTGCTGGGTCCCTCCTCCCACCATCTTGAGCTAGGGCAGGATTCAAAAGTTTCGAACACATGCCACGGGAACCAGGGTACAAACGAGTGGAAAAGAAAAGAGAACCAACAAAGTCCACACGCGTCAAGGGTTGCAGAAGCCCGTGAGTCGTGTAGGGTGGTGGCCTATCGCAACCTTCCTAGCTGGCAACGGAAAAGATGACATCACCAGATCCAGATCTGTTCACTCCTCCGAGCCTATCTAGCTGGGAAAATTGTAACGTTACTTCAACGCTCTTCTAAAGATTGTACTTAACAAACCTAAACTAGCTTCAGCTGGTATCGCGCCCTCGACAAATCTTAAATGTCATCAGGTGTTACAGGTCCAATAGAACGAGATAACGAGGATTGCACTAGGTGTCAAACGAGTACAAAGTATGAGCGAAGGTATGAGCGAATACTTATGTGCGAAACATGCAACGGTTACAGTACAGATGTTCTGGCTTATAGGCCCTTCCTAAGATAGGCCATTTTTGCCGATATAACCAAGGATCCAGTAGAAAGGATAGAATCTGTTAAGTCTGAGAGGAGACAATGAAGTCTCTGTAGTGACCTTGTTGAATAATAATTGAAAGAGAATAAGATGATTGAAAGATAGGAGTACAAGAGATTAAATAGAAATCTAGCTAGCCATGTACTCTGAGGGGTACATTCCCTTATTAACTGTATTGCGTAGCTACAGTAACCGTGACTATTGCTATCCTCGACAGTTACCATGTTGCAGTGAATTAACTGTCGTGCGGTTACTGGATCGTCAAGGGTCACGACCGTTGACTTCCTCAGACGGTTGACCTTCGGGTGACCCTCGACATTCCGCATGCTCTATATGAGCTATTGCTGTACTGGTACAGTGGAACAGCTCCGGGAATGCTTTATATAACCTTTCGGTTATTCCAACACTCCCCTTCATTCCTGAAGGTGGTGTCAGAACATTATAGCTTATGCTGTTGTGTAGGCTATAGTGGGGTATCCCATAGGGGGTACAACCAATTAGGGTTTCATATTTGTACTCACTTCATTTCATAGTTCATTCATTCTTGTTCAAATCTTCTCATGGTATCGAGCAGGTTCCCCCTTGGGAACTGTGCTTAGGGCCCACCACATCGATTTTTTTTTTTTTTTTTCCTGCCCGAAGCGCGCTCAGCCCGAGTCGCGCTCCGGGCCCTCACTTCGTCGAGCCGCCCTAGCGGCCCTGCACTGCGGCCCCGCCACCCGTCTCCGCGGCCCCGCCGCCCGTCTTCACGGCCCCGCCGCCTCTCTCCTAGCGGCCCCGCCGCCCTACCTAGCGGCCCCGCCGCCCTACCTCGCGGCCTCGCCGCCCCATTGCGCGGCCCCGCCGCCCTACCTAGCGGCCCCGCCGCCCCATCGCGGCCCCGCCGCCCCATCGCGCGGCCCCGCCGCCCTATCTAGCGGCCCCGCCGCCCTACCTAGCGGCCCCGCCGCCCCATCGCGCGGCCTCGCCGCCCCATCGCGCGGCCCCGCCGCCCTACCTAGCGGCCCCGCCGCCCTTCCTCGCGGCCCCGCCACCTTACCTGCGGCCCCGCCCTTACCTGCGGCCCCGCCGCCCTCTGCTGCGGCCCCGCCACCTTACCTGCGGCCCCGCCACCTTACCTGCGGCCCCGCCACCTTACCTGCGGCCCCGCCACCTTACCTGCGGCCCCGCCACCTTACCTGCGGCCCCGCCGCCCTCTGCTGCGGCCCCGCCACCCTATCTGCGGCCCCGCCACCCTACCCGCGGCCACGCCGCCCTTACCAGCGGCCCCGCCGCCCTTACCTGCGGCCCCGTGCCCTGCAGCAGCACAGCCGAGCCGCCCAGCAGCCGAGCCGCCGAGCCGCCCAGCAGCCGAGCCGCCCAGCAGCCGAGCCGCCCAGCAGCCGAGCCGCCGAGCCGCCCAGCAGCCGAGCTGCCCAGCAGCCGAGCCGCCCAGCAGCCGAGCCGCCCAGCGGCCGCGCCGCCCAGCAGCCGAGCCGCCCAGCAGCCGAGCCGCCCAGCAGCGGAGCCGCCGAGCAGCCGGGCCGCCCAGCAGCTGAGCCGCCGAGCCGCCGCGCCGCCCTCCTTCAGGGCCGCCCGACCTGCCCAGTCTGGTGAGCATAGCGCCTTTTCACTGCACTGTCCTCACCCCACTGTTTGCGCTGCTAGTCGTCTAGGGTCATGGCTACCCCTAGTGTTCTCGCCTTTGACGCTGAGGGTAGGGCCATTGACTTTGAGGTCTGGGTAGATGACCTGCAGCTGTTCTTACAGTGCGATAGGGCAGACGGCCTCTCTCTCTTTGACCTCACCTCTGGCACCTCCACTGCCCCTGCTGCTGATGCTGACGCCACTGTTCGCTCCCAGTGGGCCACGCGCGACGCTGCTGCACGTCTTGCTGTGCGTCGCCACCTCCCTACCTCCGAGCGTGCGCACTTTAGTCAGTACAAGAGTGCTCAGACCTTGTACGACGCTGTAGTTGCGCGCTACTCCTCCCCTGCCACTGCTGCACTGAGCCGTCTCATGCTACCGTACCTCTTTCCTGATCTTACTGCCTTTCCCACAGTCACTGACCTCATTACGCACCTCCGCACAAGTGACACTGGCTACCGCGCTGCACTCCCTCCTGACTTCTGCGCCAGGAACCCCCCCCCCATGTACATCACTCTTTACTACATAGTCACTCGCCTTCCTGACTCCCTTCGCGTAGTCAGGGACCACTTTCTCTCTGTCTGTCCCACCACTCTCACTGTTGACCTCCTCGAGAAGTCCCTCCTAGCGGCCGAGAAGAGCATAGTCGCTGTAGGGGCCTCTCGTGGTGACCCGCGCACCCCCATCTTTGAGGGGTGTTCCCCCTCCCCCCTTCTGCCCTCTGTTGCCTCTGCTGCTGCGGCCGACCTCCTTGTTCTTGAGTCGGTCGGTGCGGCGTCTGCCCCTAGCGGGAGACGCCGCTCTGGCAAGGGCAAGGGGGGCAAGGGCGCTGGAGGAGCGAGCGGGGGCGGTGGAGGTGGAGGTGGCGGCAGTTGGGGGAGTGGGGGTGGCGGTGGGAGTGGAGGTGGGGGTGGAGGGGTCGGTGGCGGCAGTGGAGGTGGAGGTGGCGGCGGCGGTGGCGGTGGGAGCGGAGGTGGTGGAGGTGGCGGAGGTGGAGGCGGCGGCGGAGGCGGAGGCGGCGGCAGTAGCGGAGGCGGCGGAGGCGTCGGAGGCGGCGGGGGTGGCGGTGGTGCTGGTCGCGGGTCTTCGCAGAGGAGTGGCTCCGGTGGTGGCTCGCGCCAGCAGCAGCAGCGTGGTCGTGACACCCTGTCCCCTCAGCAGCTTCGTGAGTGGTACACTGCGCGTCAGCGGGGTGGGGGTTTTGGTCCGTGCTCCTACGTTTTGCGCACTGGCGACCGTGCGGGTGAGCAGTGTGGGGGTCCCCACCCCACCCAGCGCTGCTTTGGCCGCCTGACGGACGCGTGGCGTCACCAGTTCCCGGAGGCCTCCGAGATCCCTCGCTGGGGCGAGCTGTCTAGGGCGGGTGTTGCCATCCATGATCTTGACTTTGATGCTATTCTCTCTGCCATGTATGCTGTGTCTATTAGTGATGAGGGTGACTGTTACCGGTGTTTCCCGCCCGATCCGGGCATTGAGACTGCTGCTCTAGGTCCTGGTGAGGCTGCTGCCCTAGGTGCTTGCGACGCTGCTGCTCTAGGTGCTCGTGTGTCTGCGTCCTCAGGTACTGGTGAGTCTGCGCTCTCAGGTACTGCGTCGGCTTCGGCCTCCCTCACCTTCACCCTTGACTCTGGGGCGTCTCGCTCCTTCTTTCGGGACCGCACCACACTCACACCGCTGAGTCGACCGGTTGCAGTGTCTCTGGCTGACCCCTCTGGGGGTCCTGTCCTGTCTCGCTTCTCCACAGTCCTCCCGTGTCCGGCGGCTCCCTCTGGAACCCTGTCTGGTCTCTACCTCCCCTCGTTCTCTACGAACCTGGTGAGTGGTGCTGACCTACAGGATGCGGGGGTCCACCAGTTCACTCCTGCATGTCAGAGAGTGACCCACTGTACAGAGGCTGGCACAGGCCGACACCTGGCTACGTTCACCCGTCAGCCGGGGTCGAGCCTGTACACTCTGACCACTGCGTCTCCTCCAGTTGCTGAGTCTGGTAGGGTAGTTACGTCGGGTCAGGTGTTTGCTGCGGCGTCCAGGTCTGGTCCTGAGTCTGCCCCCTGTTCGTGTCGTCTCCTGTCTCACGAGACTCTCCTCTGGCACCACCGCCTTGGCCACCCCTCTCTGCTTCGGCTCAGAGGTATGGCCTCCCGTCTTCTTGTGTCCGGTCTCCCCCGGTCCCTCCCTCCCCTTCCTCAGGGCCCTGGCCCTGCCTGTGTCCCCTGTGTCGAGGGGCGCCTGCGTGCTGCCCCTCACTCCTCCCAGTTTCCTCCGACAGAGGCCCCGTTGCAGACACTTCACATGGACGTGTGGGGCCCAGCCCG